AGGAATGAAGCTTTTTGTTTATTCACGAGTCACAGGCTTAAAATGGGTGCCCTTATAGCTCACTGTGGTGCCCAAAGTAGCCAATCTGATACTGAATCTGGGGACTAAAGCCTGAAGGCTAGGGAATAGCCCCGGCCTATTAGGGTAAAAAATAATAATAATTTAAAAAAATTGGGCCAATATTATCACAATTGACTTTTGTTGATGATAAAACATCTCTGGCATAAAGCAAATATCATAAAGGCAGTGCAGCCTACATCATAGGAACAGGTCTTAGCAATAGGTTTCAAGGGGAAATCAGAGTCTCCTAGGTGTTATATCAGCAGGTAGACTTCAAAGTTGAAGTTGCTTTCTCGAAACACTCACTTCCCTTTGCAGCTTACCACAAATGAATGGTGGCAAACAGGTTAATTCTGGGAGGTCAGTCACTTGCATCTCTGCTGGGGGAAAAAAAAAAAAAGCCATGAAGCTCCACAGGCTGATGCAGTTGGCAGCATTGGTCTGTGTACAGCTGCAACAGCCACTTTGGCAGAGAAATTCCTGATTGTGATAAAAGAAGGGGCAGATTTCATGAAACAACTGCCATCAGCATAGTCTAGATCAGAGCTCTTACACCTGGATATGGATGACTGCAGACTTTGTAATCACATGGTCCTGTTTATATTAAAACTCCATTTCCAGTTTCTCTTTCAAGGATAATTAGCTTTGGTGGCTGTTAAGGATGGTTTTGTGGTAAGTTCAAGTATATACAACATTTCTGAATTGGTACAGCCCCCTTCACATGGCTTTACAGTTTCTTTCCCCAGGGGTGAAACAAAAGAGGATTTCTTCTCTCTCTCATCCTTTTATTGGTTTCCACTAATGCAGCTATACTATTGGAAACACGCAATTTTCTAATGTACATAAAACTGTCGTCTACTGAGTATAATCTAAATCAGATCTAAACACAGATCCATGCACTATAGTCATCTAAATTATTTACAAACAAACTTTCAAACTCTGCCACTCTTTAATGAAGTCCAAAATTTGGCAAATGTCCATGATACAAAAATTTTAAGGAAGTCTTCAACCATAATTACTACAGAACCCAAAATGTTCTAGAGCATGTTCAGAACACCTCTGTAGCATATTGTACAACAAGCAAAGCCAATAAATTGTCTTTAATAAAGTTCTGTTCATGCCTAAAAGCAGCTGTAGCTCATTTGCTGCATTCAGCTCTGGGGCCCCCAACACAAGAAGGACATGGACCTGTTGGAGCGAGTCCAGAGGAGGCCACAAAGATGATCCAAGGGTTGGAGCACCTCTCCTATGAAGAGAGGCTGAGAGAGTTGGGGTTGTTCAGCCTGGAGAAGAGAAGGCTCCAGGGAGACTTAACAGCATCCTTCCAGTACCTAAAGGGGCCTACAAGAAAGCTGGGGAGGGACTTTTTACAAGGGCATGGAGTGATAGGACAAGGGGCAATGGCTTTAAACTGGAAGAGGGAAGATTTAGATTAGATATTAGGAAGAAATTCTTCCCTGTGAGGGTGGTGAGGCACTGGAACAGGTTGCCCAGAGAAGCTGTGGATGCCCCATCCCTGAAAGTGTTCAAGGCCAGGTTGGATGGGGCTTTGAGCAATCTGGTCTGGTGGAATGTGTCCCTGCCCATTCTATAATTCTATGATTTGCTTCAAATAATATCTTAAAATGTTACATAATAAAATGCTCATCACCATGCATCCTGAGTACTTTGTAACTGAAAATGAACCTTGACCAAACTGCATTTGAACTGTGCAGCGAGCAACTCCTTAACTAGAAGTAACATTGTTTTGTGACAACTGAATTAAGAAGGCATAATGTCAGGCTATAAACTGTTTTCCATCCTATTTTTAAGGGTGATCTGGAATGTGAAAGTAGAATAGTGCAGTTGAATTTTGTAAGTTCTTTAATGCTGGAACGTCTGTTTTCCAGGGCATTTATTCAGCATTTCATACATTTTATGTGTTGCCAGAGTAAAGCAGTGCTGTGGTGAGATTGATTTTCTGTAAAATAGTAAGCAAACGGCAGAAGTTAAAGTTCCTTGAATATTTTTGGCAGAATTTCTCTCCACAATAGCAACTTCAATATGTGAACTTAATTATAATATCTTAGTATATCCTCCTTATAAATACTTTCTTGTGTACATATAAAATAACTGTTGTCCTTTGTTTCTTCTCTTGGGTTTGTAGTTTTTCGAGTACACATCCCATAACGAAATACGTTACAACACCCGACAGCCAGAAGTCTGTGCAGCAGTCGATTCGGGGACTGACTACTTGACGATGTACTTGTGTCAAGAAAATGTCCATAGTATCCCTGAAAACCAGAAGTTTGTTTTCAGAGAGGTAAGTGTGCTTGCTTCGTTTTGGGTTTGGTTTTTGGGGGAGTAGGTAGAAGGAGAATTGTTGAGTTTTTTCTTTTTATCTTACTGCCTACACATCATGTGGGCCACAAGATTGGCATAGAACTCTGGGAGAAATATGCTATCTTGGCTTTTAATATCTGAACATAGAACCAGGGTAGCAACAGCACGCAGGTGAAGACTATGCCCCTCATAAAGAACAGGAAGATGTGAGGAAGGAGAGCACCCTTCTTATCCTCAGAGGAGCTGGGAAAGGTTGGCAGAGGTCTCTCCTTGCGCTGTCCACATCTAGCACTTTCTGCAGACTGCTCAGTTCTCTCACATCTCACCCCTACTGACTTCTCCTGAGAACTGAGGTGCTTCCATATACCCTTTCCCTGCCAGTCTTATGGCTGGCCTACTCCTGCTCTTCTTTCATTGACTTCTTTAATTTCCCAGTATTTATACCACCATATAGTCCTGATATTTCACATACCACCATTACTTTACACTCTTCCCTGCTTTTGAGCAAATGTTACTTCTCTGCAAACCATCTCTCGTGACCCTCCCCGTAAGCACCATGCTCCCTGAGCTTTTCTGCAATGTAACGTGCAGAATTTCTGCAACATAATTTGATGCACTGTCAAAAAATACCTTCAGCCCTACTCCTGCCCCTACACAGGACACATCTTACTGGCTTTGAGGACTCAGCAAATCTGTACCTCTCTTCTTCAACCTTAATGCCTACTCCCAAAGGGGAGAAATGCTGAGAAGTATGGTATATTTAATAAACATAACGTGATCTTAGAAAACCTTGTGTTTAGTAGTTTTTAATCTCTGAAGGAGTTCCAGGGTGCCTGAGAGAAAATAAATTGGATGAAAAATGATGGCCTTGGTCAGGTTCTGTAGTGTTATTATTTGGCTAAAGGAAAAGGTCACATAATACATCAAAATGGTTTATTTACATAATGTGTCTGCATAATGCATCTAAACTCTACAGGCTCCGTGGTTGACAAATTTCATGCTTAGATAGTACCACTAGTGATAGGTAGCAGAGTAGATTCTAAAGAAAAATACAAAAACTACCCTCCATTCCCTAAATCTAGTCCAGACTGAAGCTCACAGCAATATTACTGAGTAAAACAAAGTATTTAAAAGGCTGACTTTATAAATGATGTTTCATTTTTAATGCTGACTTCTAACAAAATTTGTCAAGGTCATATGCATTAATCCATAAGACTGACATATTGAATGACCCTCAGTGACTCCAGGAAATAATTGAGAAAACACAGTCCTGGAATATATCAATTTCCACTGCATTCCTAACCATTAACTTTTAGCATCTGAAATTTTAGGAATTATTTTAAATCTTCTTTCTTTCTCGTGATTCCTTTGTGCCTGTGTATGATTTGAATGTACTGCTCTGCTCAAATTCCTCTTCTGTTGCATTACATCAAAATCACCAGTCCTCATCTTTCAAGGCAAGTGATGGGTGAGGTGTCAGTACCCCATTTCTCTTGCTTTGTGCGGAGAAGTGTCAGACACTGGAAAAACTGTCCTTATAGATGTAGCATAATCAAAGATTTGAACAGGCTTCCCAGCAGCCTGGCAAGAATTAAGTTCGTACCGGCACTGAGTCATGAATGAAGCAGATATTGATTAGTCCACTCAAAAATTTGAATTACCATGATGGAAACGGGGAGGTCATTCAGCAGCTAAGTCTGTCAGCAAGCCCATGAACAATCACGCACTGCTGGGCATCAGGGGCTGTGGCTTGAGGTGCAATTAGCACGACAGTCCTGACGACAGAAGGAGCAGACCTTCAAAGGAGTCAGGGTTACATTCAGAAACAGAGTGTTGGCATTTTTCTTTGGAAGCCACCAGAGGCTCTGGAAATGGTTACGTGTAGGAATGTCACCTGGGCCAAAGGAATGGTCTTGGAGCAGGGCAGTTCTCCAGAGTTGGCTATGCCACTTTTTTGCAGCTCGTTATCCTAGCTGACAGTGCTCCCAGCTCACAGCAACGTGAACTGGAGATGAAATGTTCTTGGAGACTCCCATTAGGAGGGCCTGAGGCCTCAAAATGTGTTCTTTAGGGAATCTGACTGTGGAGGCGTGTCAGACCTTACACCTCTGAGGCAGCTGTGCTGCCCTCCAGCAAAGCAAGCTCATTCCAGACACATCTGCCGGCAAGGGGCATGCTTAGATATTTTTTTCATTTTCCACTAAAAATACACCCTGTGAAGAAAGGGGAAATTTTTTTGCTGAAAATATATCCAACATCTGCACTTAGCTAGCAACATTTACATTTTACTTGCAAGATGTGCAATAAGTTGGTGAATTTGGGTGATGCCTGTTCTTGGCTTTGGTTTTCTCTGCCCATGGTCTGGTGCAGTAGCAAAAGGCAATGAAAGTGAATGAAGTTAACACATTCTTTAGAGGCTTAGATATCAAGACACAAATCACTCTAAAGCAATGTTAATGTAAATTTAAAAGCAGGGTCTTTTCATAAAGTTTCAGAGATCCTCAAGTTAGGCATTTTGGCTTCACTGCATGGCCCCATGAGAAGGATATGTGTGATATTTATATGTTATGAATGTCTTCTGTTACTTTTAAAACACAGTGATATGCCTGTAGTTTTTAAGACCTGAAAAGCAAAATTTCTGTCTTTTGTAGGATGGTACCTTGTTTCATCTACAAACTCAGAAGTGCGTACAAGCAGAGTCAAACGCTTACAATGGTAACCCAGCACCATTGTTACGACCATGTACTGACTCGGACTACCAAAAATGGTTCTTCAAAGAAAGAAGTTGATCCAAATGTCATCTAGGATATAACTGAATATGAAAATGTGCTCCTTCTACTCAGCAGTTAGTCAGCCTTTTGAAAATCACAGAAGTGATATATTTTTGTATGGAAAGAACTGTAATTAGTTTACAAGCCTTGGATTTAGTTTTCTGGAGCATTAAAATGCACTAAGCATTGAGAGCTATGTAAAGTAAAAACAGTGGTTATATCATGCCACAGAATCTACTCCTCCTCTTTTCTCTTTATTTGGCAGCTACATAACTGCTTCTGAAGTGTCTTAGGTTCTTTTCACAAGTGACTATATTTTTTTAATCTACTGTGTGAAAGTAAGGCAGTCAAAATAATTGCACTAATGTTATCTGCCAATAACTTAAAATGTTTATTTTTCTACTAAAACATTCTGCAGTTGGGCCTTTTAACAGATAGTAGTTAATAATTCTTCTTGTCTTTTAAATACCAAGAAGGTAAATGTAGGCCAGATTCTGCCCTAAGTGATTACCACAAAACCCTCACTGAAGACAGTGTGGATTTGCACATGAAGGCAGAGTGGGTCTGCATGGTTTTGCACAAATAACAATCTACATGCATACAGATTGCACATGCTTGACAATACTATACATTAAATGTTGCGACAATTTCAGATGCTCATGGCACTTGATGAATCATTTCTAATCATGCTTACGTCCGATTTGGCTTAAAATGGGGATTTTCTCATCTTTCTCGAAGAAATAAGGCAACACTATTTAAAGGTGATGCTCTGGGAAAAGCTAATTCAATTCACATGGATCTAGCTATGCGGCCATGTCCCAGACTTTACAACTTACTTTAACATCATGTGGGTTTTCAACATACATAAAACTGGCAAGATCAGACCTACCAATAATTCTTTTGATAAATTTCATAATTACAGCCAGAGAAAATGAATCTAAGAAATTACATCTTTCATTAAATTGTAAATGTTTAAATGATTCATATAAAAATAGTTATATAAACAAAAATGGTTTTGCAACTAATTGATATGATATGCAGCTGATATTAATACAAAAAGAATTGTCTTTCAGATATAACTTGCATTTTGTCTGGGAGCTCCTTTTCTGCTAAGTTGCTATGTTAACACATACAGTCCTATTGAAAACATGGGGTTTTACCTGCACTGGCACAAGATGTTTTCTGCTGTGGTGTGTGGGATCTGCCTTACCCATCATACAAATGGCATGTATAGCAATGTATTTGGTCATTGACCATCATCATTACAATGTTGATTAAAAGTGTTTCAGCTCATAAGGAAAGTTTCTTTCTATATCAGCTGGAGGCATGTTTATGTGTAGAAGCATGGAAATGTCAACCTTTTTCCCCATAGAAGTCTTGGCGTCTGTTTCAGTTAGTTTTGGATGTATTTCGTTATTTGCCTTTGTTCATGTTTTCTATTAAAAATGTACAGCCTTTTCTTTGAATCCTCATAAGCTCATGCCATTTTGGCATACCTATTTATATGATTAGGGTGTGAGGGGAGGGTTTTCTGCCTATAGGAGATGCACATGCAGGGTCTTCCAAGGTCTTTTTAAACCCATGTAGATAGAATGTTTTTGTGAGCACCTTTAAAGTTTTGTCTCTGTGGGCTGGACTGATGAAATCGATGTTAGAATTAATAAAGTATTTTGTGATTCAGTAGAGTGGGAACTGTCTTTATAACTTTTTTTTTTCCCTTATGGTCAGTGATTTTCTTTTAATCATTTCTCTGATCTCTTAGGCTCTTGATCCCTGCAGCAGTTGGGAAAAGACAGGTTTATTTTATAGTGGCTCCAGTTCCCTTTCCTGAACTTAGCCCATGTTAACAGCAGTGGTGTGCACTTTGTGGAGCCGCAGTTCAAAACTGGGCAGCTGCATGAGAGAACTGTGAGAGCTCCAGCGGCACAGCAAGGATTTTGTATTCATTTCTGCTTTGCCTTGTTGACTGTTGATTGAATTACATTACTAAGTTAAAGAGAGCCCAGCTATTACAATCGCAGACAAAACTGTCATTGACCTCCATGGTCAATGGTCATGGTCGATGAGGATTTCTTAGTTTTGGGACTTCAGGATTTCATCATCAGGTGGTGGTATGCAAGGGAAACTTAGTAATTGGAAATTATTTTCCATGCGTCTCCCCACTCTGCACTTGTTTAGAGGGAAATATTGATGTTTGGGGCTTCTAGTTACATGCAGCTGAGCTGTTTTCTCATGTACCAGCAAACCTGCTAGCCTGGGTTGAATATTTTCTAGTCAAACACACTTATGTGGAGTTCAAAAGCAGACACTGGACATGGCAATGTCACCAGCTTGCTCTGCTTATGTTGGCCTTTTAGTCCATCTTCTTACCATTTTTTCCTCCTTGATATCCTTTTATTCTTGTCAACTCACTGGAATTGTATTAATGTCTGGCTTCAGGTTTGGAGGGTGAAGGACTCCATCAAGCATCTGAGTCACAATGCACATCTTCAGACTTCCTTTTGTAGGAGGTCAGGGCCACGTGCTGAGGAATGGACTGTGGACTTTGGGCTTCTCCTCAGCAGAGAAGGGGCGAGATGCCTCACAGGCATGGAAAAATTGGAGGACTTCAGTCACAAATCGATACTTCATCTGGTTCTGGCCTCCTAGGGCTCTCTTTGAAAAAGAGAGAGAGGAACACTTCCCACATGGTCCAAATCAAGAACCAGTAGGTCCCACCTTTCTTAGTATTCATTTTCCTTTTATACTTAGAGCCTCGTGTTTCTTTTCCCCTTTGCCACTAACAATGTGAAGCACCCATAAAACCAAAACTTGCAACTCAAGCCTATTAATAACCTTAGATTAAAAGAATGGGATACCAGCAGCACAAACTGGGAAACCTCAAGGGTCCTTCCGTTTTGTGCCATCACTCTGTACAAAACAAGACAGGACATTTTTTAAATATAGATCAACTGAACAAATTGTCCTAAGGAGATATCGTCCCAGTGCACAGTACGCTGTATAAAATTCTAGGATAAAGGTGACAAAATCTGTCTTCCAAATGGATTTGCTTCCTTCCTCATTGCCTAGCTGCGAATACAACCTCTCCCATGTTTACTGCCCTTTTTTCGGCATTATACTGGATCAGTGTGATTCTGTGTTCTCCCAGGTTCCCTCCCTTACCCTTGTCTGATGTTCCTTGGATGTCCCTATGTATGTCCCCATATGTGTGGGGCATATTTGGCATGGTTGAGGCTCAAAAGGTTAAGCCAGGAGATGTACTTCACAAAACTCAACTGTGCAAAATGTTTTCCCAATTTTCCGTATCCTGTGCTGAATACACCTGGTGACAGGAATAGTAACATGCAAGGAGACTTTAACCTTTAATAAATTACCTGATCGTATTATCCCCAAAATGTGAATTTGGGATTGTAAGTACTGATTGAACTTGCTGGTTTTCTTGAATTAAAATTGTCATTTTAAAAAAAGCTTATATCTTAGTCTCTGTATTCCTTCATTAAAAAAAACAAAACAAAACAAACCACTAAATTGCAATCCAAATTGCAGACTGGTGCCTAATTCTTTATCATATTTCGTTGAACTCATCAGGTAACTATGTTGCAGGTTTTTTTCTTTTATTCTTCCACCATTCTCATTTCATTTGAACATTGTGGGTCTTCGACACGGGCTAGAACTTACTGGATTTTCACTTCAACGGAAGACAGTATATGAAATAAGAAATAAACCCCTAAAACCTCTGTATGTACAGTCTTGACCGAACCATTACAGTGGAGGATTGTTAGAGCTTGCACAACCACCCATGAACAACAGTCATTATTGTATACGCATTGGGCAACATGAATTGGAAGCAGTATTTCTTGCTAGCTCTGCTGAAACAAAGATTCAAAACTGTGTTCAATTTTTGTTATAGGAAGTGATAAGATTTACTGGAGGGGGAAATTGATGTTGGTTGGTAACACTGGGACTGATGGGACTGTGCTCCTGTTCCCTATGTATGAAAACACAAGCAGTTACACAGTGATACTCTTGGGTTGGTAACTCAAAGTCTGATGTTCTTTTAATTTCATTTGGTTCTCTTAAAGCCTGTAGATTGGGAGATTGATTTCAAGTTTGAGCTTTGTTCTGACACCCTGATACAAAGATGTAGCAGTGAAGGTGTTTAGGGAGACTGTAGGGTTAGGATCATGCAGTTGTGTATACACACTTATAACTGGGGCGGTGGTGTTGGGAGTGTTTGAGAATGAGAATGCTGTATAAGCTCATAATGAAGGCAAAATCTTGGCTGTGCTAGCAAGTTAGCTGAGGTAGGTGGGAAAGTCCTTGGGAGGGAGGGAAGAGAGGGATAACAGAGATCCCCCCATTCTGTCAGGATGCTAGCAGTTTAACTCCAACAGCCACAGCTGGGTTTGAATTAGGGCACTGCAGTATTCTTCCACTTCCCATTTACAGAGGAAAACAATTATGTATGTATATGCAGTACTAAAATTACTGTGCCTAGATCAACAGTTTTCAATCTTTTTTTTCAATCCATTACTCACTGACATTTATATGAATAGACAAAGCCTGTTTAGACCAGTCCCAGTCAGCACCGACAGGAATGACGTGGCTGTAGATGACATACTTTTAGAGGCTTCCAGGATTTCCAAAGGGGGTTGAAGACAAAAACAGGGCAGGACCTTTTCAGTGACTTCTCCTAACTCCAACAGCAGCAAGAAAGAAGATGGTAGATGGGAAGTGAGTCACTGGCCTGATGGGCAGCGTGACATGTTTCGTATAGCATCAGACCATCTCCCAGGGTGGGAGAGGACTTGCAGCAGATGTGATTTGCTTCTGGGTGGTAAGGGAAAAATCAGTTTTCTGGGTTTCTTGAACTTTTATCCATGCTCTGAAGGTATTTAACTTGCAGCTGAAGAAAAAGTGGTCAAGGGAGCCATACCAGTACAGATACTTAGACCTGAAATTAATGAACTATGTACTCTGTGATGAGCAAATATAAAGAATATATAAAGAACAAAAATGTTAACTGTGCATACACTATGAGAAGACTTAGTGATAACTGAGAGAAATTGGAAATAATCATTAGCAGGAAGATATTTGACATAACTGTTTTTACTGAAATATAGTTGAAGGATTCACATGCTTGAAATGCTGAAGTAACTGGGTAACATGCTGGGAAGAAAGTGACATTTGATTTTCAAGCAAAGAGAACAGGATTTACAATTCTTGTGAACTGATATTTTGGACAACAAGGAATAAACAGATACAGAGGTGTGCGGTTTAGACCACCAAATGAGAATATAAAGCCTTTTTGCATAGCAGATAAAGGACATGTGCTACTTTA